CTTTAATTCTCCCAAGACCTTTAGAAATAGTATGATTAAACCTAAAACTGGCTCATATCTTAAGCACTGTCAATAGAACAGTAATTAGAATTTACTCCTAAACACTATGATGCAAGGAGTTACTTACCACTGTAGAAATAAGCTGTTAATGGGATTTCCTGCATCATGGCATGCAATAATGTCTTTCAAGTGCCCAGCAAAGAAACTTTAAAAAAAGTGAAAAAAGAAGACACTAAAAATACATTGTGTATAGAGTTGTGTGGTGGGAATGCTTTTGTAAAAAATTCCTCTCAAATTTCCTTTCTTGAGGCCTCCTTAAGTTTTCTGAGAGAGACATAAAGCAACTGATGCAATTCAGTACTTAACTTGTTTCTTGGCTCTCCAGCCCCCCTCCGCCCCCCCTCCCTCGACTAGTAGTCGTCCCCCCCCCCCTCAATCGACTAATAGTCCATTTCGCAAAATAGTATCTCTCCTAAAATTACTATTTTGCGAAATGTATTTTATACGGTTTAAGAAATAAGAGGAGGCCAACATCTTTGGTGAAACACTAATTTGTAATGTTTAAATGTTTTTTTTTTTTTGTGACATGAAAGAGTCAGGTTGTCACCACAGGGTGAAAATGGTCGACTTCGCAAAATAGTAACTCTTCTAAAAATTACTACTTCGCGAAATGAATAAAAATCCTTCTTATCAATTGACGATTACTCCAAAAACCTTGTGAAAGTTACCTTTAACTTATTAGAAAATTTATCTGCATTATTCCTTTAGTTTCATTGTATCTCGCCTGGTTTCGTTTCGTTTCGCAAAATAGAATAAGCTGCTGTGTACCTTGCTCTAAGTATAATGCTTCAAAACATCAAGAAGCAAAAAGCTTCATTTTTTTACGACAACAGGGTTAAAACTGAGATAGGGAGTATAAATTATAGATATTGCTCGTGGTGTATGGATAAAAACGAACTCAAAACTGTGAATTAACGTATAGCCAGCGAATTCGGCATGTTAGTGGCGAACTCAAACGTAGCGCTGGAACTCGACAAGTAGCGCCGGAAACAGGCGTAAACCAGAACAGGTTTCTCTCGCAAGTGATAATGTTTAATCTAAAACCACTTTACATCGAGCGCGCTGAAAGACACACAGGCTACGTAGTACTTTATTGAATATCCTTTGTTCTGTGTTGTGGTCAAAAATCGACAAACATAAGCTCTCGCTATTGTGTGAGTAATTCTCATATCGTTCCGCAATGCACACGGAAATTAACATAAGACGCTCTAACTATTATGTAAACAGTTCTGATAATACTTTCGTCTATGTTCCGAACGCTACTCTGTACTCAGGTCACATTAACTCCTTTAGAAAAAATATGCCATATATGTGGAATGAACTAACTATTTTGTGGAACGATCTGACTATTGAGTGGAAAGATCTGACTTTGAACGATCTCACCATGGAACGAAATGACCGTAAACCTTCGACTTTTAATGGCCTTAGGGAGGATTCTTATATAGAGGAGAGCGGTTATTATGGCATGGCACTTATTTGAAAAAACACAGTGATTGAGGAGGGGTAGAAAGGAGGGATAAAGGATAAGCTAAGGTAGACCTCCCCCCATACTTCTCCACAAGGGAACATTCCTAGGCAGTAATAAGGTGCAAAAGGCAAGAGGTGAAAGTCCAAAATGCAAAGAGTTGTCATCATAGCAGCAAAAGCTCTTCTGCTGAGTCATTCTTCGTGTCGCAGGAAATTCGGTTGCACTATAATGAAGTGACACATAGACCGCACTTTACAAAGTCGCATCCTGTGCACTAGTATTTAATACACCCAGTTCCTTCTAAAAATACTTACAATTTCGCAAATTAAAAAGGAGCTCTCTTTACTTAATGCGATTCAATTCATGTGCAATGGTTCACCAATTGTACTTGCAACATATATTTTCGGCGGGGGTTGGTCCCTCACCTCCCGATCTTCGCGGTAATCAGATAACAGCGTATATGTGACAAACACAGTCTATATGAATAAAGGGGGTAAGTTTCTAGAGAAACTGTTGTGCTGCGTCGCTGGGAGAGTATAGCAGGTAATCTAGTGTTAACAACTGAGTTGAGAACGTAAATTGGCCCACCGTAAAGAGTTAAAAGGCTGAAGTTTCGAGCGTTAGCCCTTCGTCAGAGCGAATGACGAAGGGCTAATGCTCGAAATATCAGCCTTTTAACTCTTTACGGTGGCTTATTTACGTTTTCAACTTAGTTGTTTACATTAAATTACCTGCTAACACAGTCCGGCTATAGACTGTGGGATTTTAAGCCACTAACCTAGTCGGTCTATGCACATACTGAGAGATTTTACGCCGTGCGTTAACGGCGTTAAATCTTACTGTGTGTATATTACCGACTGAAAGAAATTACGCCGTTAGTTAACGGCGTAAAATCTTACAGTACATATACATTACCGACTGTATAAAATTACGCAGTTACTTGACGGCGTAAATTCTCCAATCTTTGTGTCCTCAAAGACTGTCGCAGAAAGTTCCTAATTTTTACCGATGCAGGCCTTTCAACCTTGCACGCGCACGATTTGCCACAAACGGCGTACGAAGAAATATGATACCCACTGGTTAAATTAGCCACAAGATACAGTCACAATTCAGAGGGCAGGTTTAGCCAAAACGAAGGGCAGTGAAGTGGAAAGAAAAGATTTAAGTTGAAGAAAATAAACACCTCACCTTGTCAATGGTGCAGATGGTATGTGAGCAAATTTGCGCCTTAAACGAGCTACATATAGCGCAAAAATACAGATAAGGACCAGTAATAGGGCGATCACGGCACCAAGTGCAAAAAAAATGTAGCACAACATTGCGTGAAGGGTCAACTCGAGAAAAACTTCTTCTGCAAGAGATTACAACAGAAGCGCATGGGAGACTTGGTAACGAATTCTTCGGGTCTTGCAAAATTTTGAAATCTACCAGAGCGGAAAAGAAAAATACTTTCCTGATCAGATGAATTTCTCGGAAGGAAGCGCACAATTCAGATCTTAAATTCCAGGTTTAAAATGTTCAACGTTCTTGTTAATTTCTCTTTTTCTCTAGCAAGACAATTTCAATCGTAAATATGATTTTCAGCTTTTGCCATTGACAAGTGTATGACCATGTGTCAGAGTGGAATCAAATCTGTAGAGACTTCTGGCCTCAAGGAGCCTGTTATTAGCGACTGGCTCTGTTCTCCGTTAGATGACTTTGATGCTGTCTTAGTTTTTCTTCGCATCTTGGGCAATTACTTTCGTTTAATATTCCCATCCAAGAGCTACTATTTTCAGTTTTGAAAGTAATTGTTCACCTTTAAGCCATTTTAAGCTAAATTATAGTTTTTCAATACCTGTGACATTCCTTCTTGTTGAAACAATAATAACTTCATGTACCAAGGCGTCTTTGTCAAAGTCAATTTTGCGTGTTACAAAAATAGCTGTTTATGAATTTGAAACACTCGAGTAGTTTTGGAGATCGAAGAATCATATAACGAAATCAGGTTAAGAACAGCCTGAGACAGTAGAGGAATGGTATTTTGGGAAATCGGATGTCAAATTGTCTGTTGTGAACAAACACTTTTCATTTTTGTTTGAAATGGCAAGCAAAGGAAAATGACTGAACACCTAACCCAAATGAGGCTCTCAGAGTGAAGTTTATCCGTCTTCAACTGAAAAGGGTAGCAGAGACTCCAGTATAATGACCAGTTCATTTTCATTTTTGAAGTTTTGTCAGTAACTTAGGCGCGACTCTGCTGACCACACTAGTAGATAAGATTTCAGAAAACGCAAAAATACATTATGTAGAAATGATTATTTTCGTTTTAAGGAAAAAAAACAAAGAAGATCAAAGAATGTTATGTTGTGCCTTTCTCAATTTTCCTTTCGGAAAAATGATATCGATTGAAATATTCCAAATGGATGATCCCCAACTTAATTAGCTGCAAATACAAGAGTGGTCAAAGGAGATAACACGAGAGATCATTTTCAGCAACTTTATCAGTTAGAACTGTGCATGAATGAGGCAGGGCCGACTTTCCGTGCAGCACGAACCATTTCTTTTTTGTTCTTGGAATTAATGAAATTCATTGTTAGTTCGAACCTGAAGGGTCGGGGGGGGGGGCGTTGGTGATGGGGAGGGGAGGGTGGGGAAGGGAAGGTGGGGGAGGGGAGGGTGAGAAGGAGGGTGGCTGTGGTGGGTAAGTCCTAATGTTCTCTTCCTCCATGGGCCGTGAAGAATCCTCTAAAATTTTCTTGGCTCCTAACTTCCTAACTAGTACCTGGGGCATGTTGGAGGCACGGGTTTGAACCCCTTCGAAGCTTTAATTTTTTCAGCTATCGCTGAAGGTACAGACTACCTACGAAAATTATTTCTTTGCTTTATTTTCATCCGGAGGTCAAATGAAACTTGATTCATCGCAAGTTGCTATCAAAACAAGCTAAATTAAAATAGTGGTGCAGTTTGAAGTTATTTAATAAGTTACTTCAAGGTCCCTTGTTTTCAATCAGACTTTTTTCGAAATGCACGAAAAGCAATCACGGTCTAAAACGCGACTGTCTGGTTTCTTTTTTCGGGGAAGGATCGTAACAAACTCGTGCCTCCGTCAATGATGAAGTTCATTAAATACGATCCGTTGAAATCCCTCCCCCTTTCGAATTGAAAATCCAGGCTAAGGAGCTGACGCTCTCAGATAACAATCTATTTTGGCTAATTTCAAACTAATCAACTTGACCTATCAACTCTTTTAAGGTGTAATTTTCTTTTGTGGTTTTAAGATAACGTGAGAAATTTCCTCTTCGCCTTTTCCTTAAGGATCTCGTTATCCCTTAAAGATCTCGTTATCAGTTCGTATATGCAGCTGGTCCACTTCTTCCTTGAAGTTCTCTACTGACAACTGCTCCTGTTATTTTGAGGCTTACTCGGTTCAACCGGTTTATTCTTTTTTTAGCATATCATAAAATTACAATTTCAGGTTTGTCTTCGATTTAAAGCTATCGTTTACAATTTGTGTTTTGCGACTGAGCTGAAAATCGTTGATGAAATATCATGACTTCCTTAACTTCTTCAAATTTAACCGAATTCTATTTAAAGTTGAAATTTCAAAGGCAATGGGGAGTTGCTTTTCTCTCATAAACCAAACCCCCCCCCCACTTTTGGCCTCCTCTGGGAACATGTTTAAGCGAACAGAACACAGAAATATTTGACCTTGTACTGTCAATTACACAGCCGTTTGCGTAATTATGTCAAATTTGTTTTTGTTTCACAAAGTCTCGAGAAATTTTTTCAAGTAGTCTTTCGAAAGAGAAGAAAAAACAGTCAGCACAATCAGGTGATAAATTGATGGTTTTATGTTTGCGGTAAGCGTGTTTCCATATCTACACAGATGATTATGCTGGATTCATTTCCGTAGACTCCGTTAGAGGAAAGAATCGGTTATTCAGAGATAAAAGTGCCATTGAATCAACTTAATACAGGAGAACTTCTAAGGACACCTTCCACCTTACGATGGCCATTTTCAAGCTCCGACGAACGCTCTGTGCATTCTCAGTTCTCTTAAACTCTCTGCAATGCCTCTGAGCGATAGCAAAGGCCTTGCATTACAGCACGTCTCCATGCGAAGTGAAACACCGACTGAAATACTGTATTAAAAACTATCAACAAGCTCAACTTTTTGATCCTCGTCAGCTTTATTTTGCTTAAGAGAAATCGTCTTCAATGCCAAAAGCGAAAGATTTTTTTCAATCTTACAAACCCAGTTTTCCTTATTCTTTTTGTTTCGTCGCCACTGTTATTCTAATCACCAATCACCGATTACTGATTTCCTTTTGACCGATGTAATTTTGATTGTGTCTGATGCGTATCTAAATACAACATAAGCATTTTCTTTCTTTGCATTTAAAATGTTCTCAACAACATATTACCGCCCTTTCCCCCTCCTCTGTACAAAGGCAATTTTCCTCCGTCGCTGAAGTGGTTATTGCTGAGAAGTTCGCCTGGAAAACAAGCGTGCGTAACAGAGTCGTGACCACAAGCTTTTATTGTCTGGTCTGTGAGAAACGCCAACACATGAAGGTTCTTCCATCTGCCGAAAGGTTAATTGATCTCCCTATCTCTTTAATGTGCTAAGGCAAGTTTGTCAAAGCGTATTCAGTAAATCTTAGCATCTTTTTTCTGTGGACAAATGATGAAGAAGTCTTCAGAAACTTCACTAGAAGAATCTGTGCGTTGATTTCGGGGTAATGAGTTGACCCATCTATCAGTGTGCCATTAATCGATTAAGTAAGCGTAGTCTACTCCATTCGTAGAAGTTCGTTGACCGTATGCCTGACAGAATAAATGAGTTTAAGCTTGTTTGCAGAAATATCAGAAATTCGTCAAGGTTAAATTCTTCCCAGCTTATCAGGAGAAATACCAATGATAGTACACATTCACAGCAGGGCTAGGTTTTCCGGGAAAATTTCAAACGCGTTCCCTGCCTTTCATTGGTATGCTTCCACAGAAGGAATCGATCAAAAGTGTAATAGTGGTGCCAACTTACGAAGGTTCTAGAAGTCGCTAATCGTCTCAAAAAATAACTGACCTTGAGATATCAATCTGGCGCCCTATGACGGGGAGGAAAACTTGAAAGTTTGTCGACAAGTCAATTTAAACGAATAGGGGTCAGCTAACTCTCTTGAAAATCCAGTCGTTATTGGCTGTGAGGTTTTTCCGTAATCGCTGGTAGGTGGGCTCGCAGACACCGCGCTATTTTAGCCAGAAATGTGTCTGGCAAAGTTATTCTGAAGTAGATACGATCAACGACGTAAGTCTCGTCTATCGACTGTAACATGAAAACCCACTACAGCGTTGGCTTCAAGATCCAAAAAAAATGCCTTCTTTGGTGGTTGGTCATTTTGTTCACAATCCTCTTGGTCGTAGCGATCGGAATGTTAGTTTTTCTTTCACTCAACGCCAAATATAATTTTGCGTGCGTGTTTGGATGTGCGCCTGAAGCAAAAGCGACTCGCGCGCAAACATTAGAAAACATACCACCATCTGTTGTCATTACCGTCGCTGGTACTCAGTCAAGGCTCAGAACCTCGGAACATGAGAGAAAAAACAGCGAGAACCCAACGCAGAAGCAAGTCACAAACACAGGGAAAATTACGAAAGTCATTGAGATTGACCGCGATACGATTATCAGTTCCAGAACTCCGATTATCCATTCGAACACACCGCCAAGCGTCAGCACGAAATCTGTGGTCAGAAACACAAACACAGAAGGCGGAAAGTCACGTTCACACTCCAGATCTAGAACAGCGGCCAATGTTACGCCGCAAGTTAGCATCTACCCCACAAAGAAACCTCTTGATATTGTTGATTATATCAACATCACCGGGAAAATTTCGTTCAAAGGAAAAGCTCCAAAGCGACTTTCCCGACCATCCCGCCTAATTGTAAAGTTTGAAGAAGGTTCCCTGGCTGATGCAACTCCAGTTGTGCTCGCTAAATCAGTCGTAGATTTGTCAAAGTATCGCCAGAGGAAACCTCTTTTTTACACAATAATTTGCAAAAGGCCTCCGTTTTCAGCATCTTTTTATACCATCTCTGCGGTTTTTAACAAGGGATGGAAACCAAGAAGGAAAAACAAGTGGATCAGAAAAGGGGACTTCCTGACTGACACCAATTTTAGGGTACACATAAAAAAGAGCAAGACACTCTACCAAAGAAACATTCAACTTGTTAAGTACAAGTAGTGATAGAGATCGGAGACATAACGATTTCAGAGCATCACTAGAGCTCTTACGAACTAACTTTAACGAACCCGAGAGTTTATGAATATGACTCTCCACTTACAATTGTTTCTCGGATCTTAAAGGTAAAGAACGTAACCGGAGAATTTTCGACAAGAGTCGATCCGTAAATGATACCATATCAGCATTGTCACTCTACTTTCGTATAACTTTTTATCAAACTCGCGTTTCTGATCGATACTAAAACCATGCAGTGGATATTTCGCTGTAAACAAAGGTAACACAATATGTTTAGACGTAAACAAAATCATTCACCTCATAGGTGGATACTAGAAGGACATTGATACCAGAAGAGTTATTTCTATGAAAAATTACCTGGTAGATTTGCTTTAGATGCCCCCTCAGTGCGGAAGGCACTTCGAGAGGTCGGTTAGGCTGTAAACGATGTCATTAAAGTTCGAACCTGAAAGTTAACCACAGGTAACAAACCCTGTTGTAACGCTCTTCTTTTAAACTCTGCACATCTCCAATGGTTCTCTGTCACAGATACCATAAAATTCCAAAAGTCATGACCCATGAACGCTTTATTCACTCGAGTCGAATTGTTTCAGACGCTAACTGAAATGATCAAGTTGCCAGTTTTCTTTAGGCTGGACTGAAGCGTCGTGAAATTATTCCGCTTGTTAGTTCGCTTTTCTTCGATAAGGAAAGACCTGGAAACAGATGGTCAATGATTTATTAAAATTATTTTCCTTGGTGTGTATAATTAACGATTAATTTTATCAATCAGCCAAGCTTTCTCCGACCTGCCTCTTACAGCTAATGGTTAATTTCTTTCCCTTAAAATAAGTAAAAAAAATGTACAGTTAACTTTCTTTTACGACTAACGATTAAAATTTGACAATTTTTATACCTGACGACTGATTTGTTATTTGCCATTTTACGGTTCACACTTAACCTCATTGAGACCCTCTGTAATTAGAAAGGTTTCAGAGATCACCAATTGTTTACAGTGGTACATAGTATTGTGCGAGGTACACAGCTTACCAGCTGGCCTGATCTTTGACGTTACATCAGTTTCAAGTCTTTTTATATCATTAGGTCTTTGGGAAAGGAAAGCACGAATAGGACCACCTGTTAAAGGCAGTGGTTATACTCAATTTTGCTTACAATTTAGCACCAAGATTAAAATCCAAACAGGGTTGATTGTTTCTCAGATCGCTGTTGCGAGCGTAGATATACCTCAAAGAAGGTTTAAGCCAAAGAACCTCTAAAATACTAGAACCAATAAATTTTCAAAAGGGCCTGCAACTGGAATTCCACTTTTACGAGACTTTACAGTTGCAAAGAAGACTTGGAAGCGCAAAGTACCGGCAGTATCCAAAGAGAGAACAGATCGTTTTAAAAATATTCTTTAATAATTAGAGGTAGACTGCGACTTAGGTTTGTAATTCTGGGATTCTTGATCTTTTCAGCGTTTAAACCATAAAAGATGTAATTTTGTCTTGATTCTATAATTTATTACTTTATATTATTATCGTTGATGAGTCTTGCAATTACGGAATAGGTGGCTTCAATTTGCCTCTTCATGACGCTCTCCGTATGGGATGACAGAAACATCCATGATGCTTGGTCAGAGCCCAATATGGAACCTTGTTGACATTTAGTAGAAGTATAAAATGTATAAAGAAGCAAAGATATTTCAAACATTTATAGCAACATTCTCTAAGGAAAATGAAGTTCTGCAAATAAAAAAAAAAAACCAACAACATACTAAATCATATTTTCTTAATGGAATCTATGCATTGAATTTCGTGCTCCTGCTATAAAAAGCTAAAGCTGTTGCCCTCTGTCTTCCTCGTGTTATACAATTTCTTTTCCAGTGATATGTTGGTTCAATATCATCTGTATCACTCACACATTCTACTCGTTCTCACCCCGCATTCTTTAACCTTCATATAATATACCTATAATAGAGTGGTTTGATGAAGATTAGGTGACCTTCCTCGAACAGTTTGGCTACCTGCCCATGGTGCAGGAAGTTTCATCTCGATTTGTAGAGGAAAATGTTTTTAAAATTGTATCAGTCACTTTAGGGGAGTTGTTAGGAAGGTTTGAAAATTAACTGGAGAGCAGGGTATCTCATAGGGTGAGAGAGAAGACAAATTCCCTTTGACATGGGCTCCTGCCTTTAAACATTGGAAAGGGGATGTGGCCTTGGCCTAGTGAGGGCTTTCAAAATTTCTTAAGACAGAAAAAGAAGAACAAACTATAATAGCCCCTCCCCTCCCCCTCGAAGCCAAAATGTCGTCCTGTTGAGTGAGTAAGTGAGTGGGTGGCTGAGTGAGTGTCTATGTAACAATTAGCCCACAACTGTCTCCTGCAGTCTGCCGAGTTTTACCCGATATTCCTCGCTCGTGGCTCTTGTTTGTTTTAGAATATCCTTAGTCGTTCAATGCTTGGTGGCGATTTCTTCGAATCGCTTCGAATTTTACTCAATCATTTTGGTTAAAGAATCAGGCGCAGCTGTCTAAGCATTTATAGAAAAATTGTAAGGCTGAAAGAATATATCTCAGTACTTTTTGTGGCTACTATCTCCTATAGGAGGCGAAGCCACAGATGTCGTCGAAATGAGTGAGTGAGGACCGAGTGAGTGATGGTAACAAAAGAATTTTGATATCGACTTATATTTCTTTCGTTGCACACCTTGAACATATTTGCATATTCACCGATTTCACAGAGGCTGTCTGTGTGTGCTTGGGCTTCCTGTGGTTGGACGTCAAGATAGATAAAAAAAACCATCGTTATCTTCTTCATACCCGACAACGAAATTTCCAACAGTGTTAAGGTATTTTCATTGTTACGAGCCTTGAGGCGAGCAGCAACTCTATTCTTGACGGGTTTCCTCTGTTCTGCTCGGACGGTCCTGAGCACTTCCGGGGACTTCCGGTCACTTTTTTTTCCGAGCCATACCTCGATCTTATGAATGGGCAATGATGATCCTCTGAACACGAAATACTTTGAAATCAGCGGAAATACCTATTGTAAGCAGCGTCAAAATGGTAAATTTCACGTGACCAGCAGAGTAAGTATTCATCAAGGTGACAATCGCCTTAGCGATGTGTCTAGGGGAAGACAATGTTCTCATTGAGGCAAACCAATCAAACGCAGTACTTTTTGAAGCACAAACAAATTATCAGTCGCTTATGAAGGTGACTAATAATCAACTACCTATGAGGTAGAGCCTACTGAGGCACAAACACATACAAATAGCCTAATGTTTTCTATAGATTACAAAGACTTTTATCAGGGAAGAATCGCTTGTGGGGAGCTCGAAAACGAGGTTCCATACTATTCTTTGCATTCGGCCCTAATTAGTACTTTCAGTAACAATTATGCATTTATTATATTAGATGGCTATGTTATGGCTTTTTAAGTCTGTAGATAATTGTTTTTATGTCTTTGATTCACATGTACGTAATTGTTTTGTTATGCCTGATGTAAAAGGTTCTGCTGTTGTTATGAAATATGATATTACCCAATTAGAGCTTTAGTTATCTTCTCTTTCACTTAAATTGAATAGTGAAATATTTTACTAGTTGAGTTTAACTCCACTATTAATGACACACAGTGTATTGTGCCACCAAACAAAAATTCACATAAAAGAAAAAGGTCTGAAGAAATAGAAAGCCAAAGAGAAGAAAGGCTTAAAAAAGCTAGAGATTATAGGAAAAATATTTCAGAAGAAACTGAAACAGAAATACAAATTAGAATAGAAAAGATGAAAGCATATTGTGCAGTTAAAAAATTAACTCAAACTGAATTTGAAAGAAAAGCTCACTTAGAAAAAAGAAGGGTTAAATTTAAGCAACAACTTTCAGAGGAAACTGAATATGAAAGGGATCTAAGATTACATAAACAAACATTGTACCACAAGAAGAAGATATTAGAGCAGTCTAATAGGCCCTTTTGGGGAAAATACTCAACAACATTACTTGAATGAATTTGATGCATGATGGGGAGTTTCATGATCAGGAGTGGGCTAGACTAAATATGTCAAAATTTCACCATTCTATCGTGTATATTGTTTCTCAATGTACTGTTTGTCAAGAAACATGGCCTTTAAAATCAAAACCAAGGTCATCAGACACCTATGTGTGTTCAAAATGTTCAAGGGATAAAAAGGGTTTGAATTCAAAAAGTGTACAAAGAAGTTTTCCACTGAAAATTCAACGATACCTTCTCCAGTTTCACCTGAATTACAGGGTGTATCACATGTAGAAGAAATGCTTATTGCCGTGCTCTCCCTATTATGAGGGTCTAAATTAATCCAGGAGGACAAATAGGCCATTCGGGGCGTTGCATTAATTTACCACAAAATGTCAAAGAACTGGCATCTTCATTTCCCAGATACCCTTAGGGTTTATCTGTGATCATTGTTAAAATGAAGGGTAGGAATGATACTTTAAAAGACGTTATTGTAAGAAGACAAAAGGTACATGATGCTCTGTTATGGTTTGCACAAAATAATCCTCACTGTGCAGATGTAGAAATAAATGAACAGGCATTAAATTCATTGCCTGATAATGGTGCACCAACAGATCTTTTAACTGAGGAAACTGAAGATCACATCTTATTAGAGGAAAATATTGACCTTGATTTAGGTCCACTTACTGACAATCATTCTGAAGATACAGTGTACAAAAAATCTACTGACATAAGTAGTTTTTAACCAGTTGGTCAGCAACGGGAATAATAGCCTAATGCTGTTAGAACTAAACTTTCAGGAAATTATCGAATGTCATGGCTTCTGTTGATGACCAGCCGATAAATGAATATCAAACATAACTTTAAGCAACTATGGCATTTCCTACTTAATTCCCAGATGGTAAAGGGGACCCTGACTAACCGCACATTAACAAGAGATGTTCCTCTTCTAGAGAGAGTTAAACATCTGATAAAGTTTGCGAAAAAAATAAATGGTAAATGGGTTTATTGTTTTGCTAGCCACGCAAGATTTTCATATTGGGCTTTTAATATGATGCAAAGAAAAAGAACTCATGAACAAACTGGAATATCACAACCCATCTCACTCTCATCATGGTCTGTATTAGAAAAGGAAATAATTTTTTGCATGTGTTATTAATATAACACTCCGTGCTCGCAGTACTTCACTTTCTGTAAACTTTTAGTTTTCATCTTTTTCATTCTTTTTTTTAACTGTTTTTTTTTAATGGTTCCCTGGTTCCGGAGGTTCTCTGGCCTCAGTCTTTTGAGGGGTGCGGCGGCGAGATGTTAGATTCTTCTTCGTCTCGGACACGCGAAGACGGATCACACGAAGACGATTCACCTGAAATGCGAAGACGGACCACGCGGAGACGATTCACATCCCACACTCATCATGGTCTGCATTTTAGATGGAAATATTTTTTTGTATGTGTCACTAATATAAGACTTGCTCGCAGCACCTCACTTTCTGCAAGAAAATTCTAGTTTTTAATTTATTTCATTCCTTTTTTTTTACCGTTTTTTTAATGGTTCCGCTGTTTCCGGTGGTTCTCTGGCCTCGGTCACTAGAAGATTCTGAAAGAAAGTGAAGCGCGGCGGCGAGATGTTAGATCTGTCTTCGCATTGACACGGCGAGCCGTGATGCAGGGTTGACCACTCGATTCTTCATTAAGTAACTTTCGTTTCTCTCATATGATAGCCAGCCATGTGGAATTCAATGAAGAGGAAGTCGAAGTCTAGTCACTACGTCGGTTATTTCGTAAAAGAGATGAAGCAGGTGAACGAAGGTTTGATCCTAAGCTCGGTGCAGAGAGGTTTGATCCTCAGCCCGTTGGAACCATTGAACCCGCTCAAGAACCTATGCAGGATGTTCGTCGGTTTGTTCCTGTGCCCGTTGTTGGGTTATATGATAACCAGGCAAAGAAGAAGTGCCGATCTGACGTAATCTTACATGCTATTAGGATCTATTAGGTGTCTAACAACAGAAAGACATACATTTGCTTGTGTCCAACGAGGTCACGTTAGACGAGTCCGGAACACTTGCTCGTCGCACTTCACTTTCTGTAAGAAACTTCCAGTTTTTATTTTATTTAATTCTTTTTTTTTTTTTTATCTTTTTTTTTTTTTGTTAATGGTTCCTCCGATTCTGGAGGTTCTCTAGCCTCGGTTTCATGAGGGGCGCGGCCCTGACACGGTGAGCCCTGATGCGGGGTGGACCGCTGAAGTTTCTTCATTTCTCTCCTATGGTTGTCAGCTATGTCGAATTCACCGAAGAAGAAGGAGAAACGGCGTCGTCTATTTCTTGAAAAGGAAGAAGCAGGTGAACGGAGGTTTGGTCCTGAGCCCGGCGAAAACAGGGTGTTTCTACTTGAGTCCGTTGAAATAGTTGAACCCGCTCAAGAACCTATGCAGGTATTTTACGAGAGGGAAAATACCCTGACTGAATTTTGAACGCAGGTGGTTTAGTGTTAACAACTGAGTTGAAAATGTAAATTGATCACCGTAAAGGGTAAAAAAGCTGAAGTTTCGAGCGTTAGCCCTTCGTCAGAGCGATAGCGATCGCTCTGACGAAGAGCTAAATCTTAAATCTGAAACCAAACTGCATATACTCTATGCAATCTATTAAACAACACTACTTCCGTGAGACTGAAGAACAAAACTCTAATGGATGCAAAATGCTTGTGAAGAAAGACGCCATGTTGGATACACCTGAAATTACCCGCTATACTCTCCCACTGACGCGGCACCGCAGTTTCTTTAGAAATTTACCCCCTTTATGAATTTTGAACGGTATGTTCCTCCAATTGCAGGATGTTCGTGAGCCTGCTCCTGAGCCCGGTTTTGGGTTATATGATAACCCGGCAAAGAAGAGGTGCCGATCCGACGTAATCTCACATGCCATTAGGTGTCTGACAGAAGAAAGAAACACATCTGTTTGTGTCCAACGAGATCACGTTGGACGAGTCTGGAAGCAACTACAAGAGAGTGGAGAGCGCCAAGCATACTTTGATGATTCACAAGTAATCAGTTCCATAGAAGATGAAATTCGGCAGTGGGAGACTCTTCACGATAGCAAGGTACAAAGCAGGAAAGCTTCAGACCTTAATGTGTGTTATCTCGGAGGGGACAATCCTATCAACGATCTTGAGGTTCTTCTGGACAATGGCGTCCTCCCACAGAATGTTTGGGCAGTGGAGAAAAATTTTGAAACATGCAAGAGAGCACGGGAAGCCATCCGTGGATCGAAGTTAAGAAATGTCCGATTGTTTGAAGGTGACATCCTTAATTTTATGAAAGACTATGAAGGTAACTTTGATATTATTTATTTTGATGCCTGCGGTACACTTCCGTCGGCTAAACAGAACACTCTTAAGATTATCGGATATGTCTTTCAGTATAATAAGCTGACATCTCCAGGAGCCTTGATCACAAATTTTTCATTTCCTACAGATGAGGAAGATGAGGAAGGACACAGAATAACAGAATTAGTTACAGAGTATTTAAATTACAGGCATAATAATACATCTCAAGAGGGGAATGCTAAACGAATGCTTCGTAGTCGAAGGACTGGCGAAGACTATGGTGATTACATCACCTATCAAGTTATTGACTCTGCTTATTTATATATCCCTGCCTTAAGAATGCTCTCATCCACAAGATCAGGTCGGTCAAGCCCGTTATGGGATCAAATGTTTACAAGTAAAAGTCACTTTCTCAAGCAACTAAGAAAAATAGGTAAAGAATTGTTTGGCGCAGCCAGTAAATCAAGTCCTGACAGTAAATCTTGTTCAGTTAGTGAAAGTGCCATTGAAGTGACTGAAGCTAGTGAATCGTTCGCTACATCTACATCTGCATCTGCAGCCAGTGAATCATTCTCCGAATGTTTTCCTTTTGCAAGGGGTGATTCTTCTGATGAAGAGCTTTCAGCACTGAAAAAAGCATATAGTGCTTCTAGTTTGTGTAGATGTGGTACTGCTTTGCTAGAAAAAATGAAAAATAATAACCTTTGCAAAGCCTGGTTTATTGAGATTTTACCAGATTGGTGGTCAACATCAAAATCGGAAACTCAGATCCTCCCGTTTTTGCTTTTGACTCATCTTCTCTCTTATTTTGATGCTTTGATCTCTGCATTTACTAATCACAACTTTCAAGAGACATGCATTAAACCCCTTAAAAATGCCCTTGATGAGGCGAAATTTCCCGGATTTCAGAAAGCAGTAGATTTAGATAGATCAAAAAGTTTGGTTGCTGGCTTACTGTATGGCCAGATGGCATATCCATCATTTCCTGTGGTGGACAAGATGCTACGACTTTGCTACACTGGAAATACAAGGCAGATGTTCACTGATGTTTTCATTTTTGACCAGTGTCGGTATGTTTATCAGCAATTTCCTTCCATTAGTTGTGCTGGCTTTGCCATTACAGAACCAGGACAGCAAATGGTGTTCAGAATGGTTGTGGATGGCTTAAGAAAGCACTTGGAAGACATTTGCTGTGAAGATGTCTTTCCTTATTGTGATGTTGCTAGTAAAGATCCTGTACCTGAGGGAGTGACTGGCTTCCCAAATAGTGGGCCTATGATTCCCGAAAGGAAAGAGGTGAACTAAGTTTGATGAAGGTTGCTGCTAAGAAAAACAAAACATTGATGATTTGTGTATGTATCATTAGCATTGCAACAATTGTACTCTTTTTTGATCAAAAACAAAAGAGGTTTTGTATCTCATACTAATTGCTCCTTCTTTAGGCAATGTAATTCTTTTAACTACTTTTCTTTATGGGTAGTGATCAACGTTTTTCTTTCAGCTCAAAATGAAAGCGATTTAAACTGAATTTCTTAATATTGTGGTGAAGGAAAAACCCCTCTGTTGTTCTGTGAAGGTCCATCCTAAGGGGAAGACACTAAAACTCTTTTTTTAAGCAAAAGATGAAGCTTAAGGTAGTGCATTTGAGGAGGGGGGGTTTATAGTTAAACTTGGTTCTTATTCAGTTTCAAACTATCAGTTATCTGTCTACAATGTGCTCTCCATTGAAGCACATTGTATTAATATTACTTACAAATAGATACAAGACCATGTATTCAAGCACTAAAAGGGGCATTGGTTCCCAGGTGCAGGATAATTCTACCCTGAAAAGTAATTAATTGCTCCCTTTGTGATAAAGAAAAGTTTTAGTGAAGTTAAGTGACCCAAAATTTGGTTCTGCAAGTCATATAATTTGGGTGTTTTGTGTCTGAATATATCACAATTTTATGCTTGTTGCCAGATGTAAGTGCCCAAAAACAGATACCTTATTCACTAGGAAAGGCACTGCTGCACTTAGTGAATTTTTTACACCCCAAGTGCAACACTTTCTTGAGTGTGCCACTCATTTGAAAAGTTTGATGCAACAAAGAATTGTTCTCTTTTCACCCTTCACACCCTCACATCAGTATCCATATTCTCCATACTCCTCTCTATATGTTTCCATTGGTCTGGATAAGGAGAATTTGTTTTATCATCAAAGCTCAGGTTGGCAATCATTTCCTTTATTCTTGTGATATTAATGAATGATTCAGCAGTATTACTGCACGGAGAATTTGGATGCTGGTCACTCTTAGAGTTTAAAGGGTTACTTTAACAGACTGTTAGATTAAAAGAGAATTGAAAAATAAAAATTTATATACTGAGTATATATTTTTTTATCTGTACAAAAGCATTGTACTGCTTTTTGCAACAAAAATTGAAATGCTGAAAGAAATTGCCATGGTAAACAAATCTATTGGCAGGTTTCAAAAAGAGCAGGGAAACTTCTTTTAGACTTGAAGCCAAAAGTTTTTCAAATGCTTGATATTGCCTGGCATTTTACATCGTGTTCACCTGTATTAAACACAAAAATTTTTAAATAATAGGTTTCAAGTACATAGATGTCTTGTGCGAGGCCAATTTCATTTTCTTATTTAGTTTTGGCATTATTATGATTGCTACTATTTTTACTTTTATTCTGTCACTTGTAAACAATTCTGGTATTGAAATTTTACAAAATACTTAAACTTGTGATGCAACTAAGTATTTAGATAATTGTGAGCAAGTTAATTAACAGTAGGTTTTGGGAAGTGATGTGTGTTGGCCAGTGTGTAAATAAACTAGTTGTATGTACATGTTTGGTATCAACTGTTAGCATTGTAAATAAAATCATTTTTGCAACTTACACTCATTAGGTAAGTTATGTTATTAATGCAATTCTTAAGTGTAAGAAAGTGTATATGTCATAATTAGTGAGTGAGTTAGTGATTGGTAATCACCTTTTTTTTTTCAAAAATAAATAAAAATAGCAATAATATCTTATGTAGAGAGAAAATTGTAAGCAGAATTCCATTATATGTAATCTGGTATAAGTAATCTATTATAGATGGAGCAAACAATTTAATTGTTTTGATATAACTTATGTAACATTATTAGTATTTTATATTATATTATATTATATATATTATTATATATATTATTAGTATATTCCAAACCAGGTATTGTTATTCAATATAATTATAAGCATCATTTTGTAATTTATATATTGTAAGAGGTTTATTTTAAGTAACATTCTGTAGTCATTGCGTTGTAAATAAATAGTTTATTATTTGTGTATCGTAGTGTTTCTGATTTTTAAAAGTATGAATAAAAAATTTTAAAAAAGTAACATTGGTGTCTTTTGATTGTCACTTTTTTTTCTCTTCTGCACTTTTCAATTTCCAGTAGTGTCTTCTCTCAACCCTGATCTCATTTTTTTATCGAGTTTACGTGCTTAAGGGTGAGCTTGGTCCCCCCCTTCTTCATTTGAATTGGTGCATTTGAAATTATAGTAATATGATAAAAAAATCTTTATAGAGGAAGCTCCCATCACTTTATGTGGTTTTGGAGGAGGTTCAGTATGGCCAGAAAGATGTAACTATTGAAACTTACAAAACTATAGGTACTAAAATTCTAATATTATAATAAGGGAAATAAGTTAAGAGAAGTTTGACATCTAAGTACTAAATAATATTGAAAGTGGAAGTTAAATTGAAATTACTTTAAAAATTTAAACCTATTAAGTAATAACATTCTAAAAGAGTTGAGAGGTAACTTTTTTATGTCCATAGGCAGGGTATTCCAATCAGGTAATGCACTATTTACTGATCTGAGCAAACTCCAGCTATTACTTGATTTAATGACCCAAATAGTGTCCTTTGAGCGGGTGTTATGACTATCATGGTAATCTAAACATTTCATAATCATACTGTTTCTGTTGTTATCATTTATTAAGTTATACATTAAAAAGCAGCGTAGCATTAGTGTTCTGATCGGAAAATTCAGCCAGTTCAGATCTGAAAATGCTTCATTCGAAGAAAAATTTGGAGCCTTAATCCAGAACCAACTTGGCTTCCTTATTTTAGGGTTTGCACTTATGTGAGTGATATGGTTATTAACAAATATTAGAGGAGATTTATCATGATTTATTAACGCCAAGCAGATGTATTATTTGCTGAGGCAAAACATTTTGGCAAGTATATAAATTTTTGATCTGCATGATCATCACTGAGATCGCATTACTCTGAAGTACACAAGTTCGATGATTGTGTTTCAATGGAATGTCCGAGTTTGCTTCTCTTAATAACTTTTGCGAGTCACTTTGACAGCCAAGAGGAAAGATCTGCTATTTCACAGCCAAGGGTATTAATCATGAGTAGATCATTAAATAGTGGACCCCCAGACAAGAAAGGAAGGAATAACTCAGCGAATGTTTCATCATCATAATAAAGAAACATTAAATTGTTTACGGCTGCTATGTGTTTGTCTATCTATAACCCTTCCGTCAAAGTCCTCTGTGTTAGATGACCAATTGAATGCTGAATTTTTTGTACAAAGATCGACTCGAAGTCTTTTCGACAGTTTGACATATAAACTGTCTTTTTATCTGGGTGGTAAACAGTTGAACTGCCTCCTGTACCTAAATATTGAAGTGCAGATTAAATCCTGTGAAATTCTGTCCCCTTCTCCATTCTACCGAAGAATGGTGGCGATTGTTAGAGATTGACACGCATCATGGAACTCCGCGCCTTTTTGGCTTTTTCTCTACTAGCCTTGAATATCGGATTTGTTGGAGTACGAGAAAAGCTAATCGCTGGGAATCGCACCGGGAAGGCATTTGCCAGCTTTCCTTCCCTTTTAAGCCTTTGGCAAGAAGAAAATTTCACCCTCGGCACTCATCCTATAATTTTAACTTCGAGCCAGATTTGCATTAATTACTCAATAAGCACAAGACAATGGTCCTTTGTCATTTGGCACTATAGAACATAAGACAGACTACTGGAGTTAACAAAGCGAATTGTTCAACTTCAAAGAAATCAGAACGAGCAGAAAGCAGACTTCTGGATCGTTCGAATTAGCAGAATAGAGGAACACAGAGTATAAGAATACGAGAAAGGTTAATCACTAGGAATTGCACCGGGAAAGCAGTTACTAGCTTTCTTTCCCTAGTAAACCTTTAGCAAGAAGAAAACTTCACTCTCGGCACTCATCCTATAATTTTAACCTCGAGCTGGATTTGCATTACTAACACAAGCAGCTCCTTGATACCCCCAATGTGAGAAACCTGCGGCCAAAAACCACAAACAATGCATTTGCGCCACGTGCTTTGATGTAACTCATGCGAAGTGTTCAAAGGTTTTCAACCCAAAATATAAATCATCATCTACTCCAAAGGAATGGGTGTGTCCCAAATGTACGATCAGTGTTTTACCTTTTCATAAGCATGACTTATCACTTTCGGATACCATGAATGATGTATGAACGAGCCTGAAGCCGAGGACCCAGACTTTGTTGATGAACACCTTCAAGTGTTTCAAGAGAGATCGCATCAGCTTCGAATATTCCACATTAACGCACAAAGCATGGCATCCTCGTTTGACGAGTTACTCGCCACAATCAAAGAGTACCATTTTGTCGTCGTGACTATGAGTGAGACATGGCTTAAAGATAATCCACTCCTACTGTAGTATGTCATTCCTGGTTACACTTACGTTTTTCGCAACCGCAACGAGATCAGTAGAGGCGGGGTTGGGACATATTTGAGGGACGGCATAAGCTATAAAAGGCGTATTGACATCGAGAACATAGCCCAGATCTAAAACACTTATGGCTAGAGATCCCAGGCCGCAATAAGCATAGTAAAATACTCGATCGAAACTTATTCAGGACTATCAAACGTGGCTAGACAAAGTGGAGAGATTGTTTGGCCACATGAATGTTCTTTGGAATGGTCTTATTATCGCTACCCGTGATGTTAACGTAAACATGCTTACGCCGAATAGTCCTGACGTAAAGAAATACATTGATCTGCTGACAACTCTTAATCTTCATCAGCACGTACACCGCCCAACAAGAACCATCCAAAACACTAATTGACCACATCGTTAGTAACGCACCCGGTCGCGTTACGTTTTGTAATGTGCTACTCTGTCCAACTATCAGTGATCATTATGGACCATAAGTTTGTATTAACGTAAGAGTCAAATGTTTTCAGCCACGCTACAAGTTACTCCGTAATGAAAGACAATTCGATGAGACGGCCTTCAAGATAGAACTAAGTAGTGTTTCTTTTAACGTCGTCAGTTACTGTGTTGACGATACAAACGAAAAAGTAGACATCTTTAACTCGCTCTCTAAAGATTTCCTGGACAAGCACGCTCCTCAACGTAGAACTAAGATCACGCGACCCCCTGCGCCCTGGCTGAACAAGGAAGACATCAGAGAACTCCAGAAAGAACGGAATGTACTCAGGTATTTAGCGCACAAAACAAACTTAGCAAGTATTTGGAAAAACATTTCGTGAGGTGCGCAAAAAGATCAAGACTAAGATTAAGTCAATTAAACGTGCTTTTTTCAGGAGGGCCCTAACGTCCAATAGGCCCAAAGAACCGCGGAACATCATACACCGTATTTTATATCCTAGTCCCCAGTCAATCAAAGTAGACCCTGACGCTCTGAACAAGCACTTCAGCTCCACATCACAACGCTTACTGGGATCAGAGGCAAATTTATTAGAATTCTCATTAGATCTCATTAATTCCCTTCCCGAAGAGCACCTTACTTGCTCGTTCAACCTTCGTCCTGTTACTCACAGTGAAATAATGAGGATGTTAACTACTATGAAATCTGACTGTTCAACTGCCGCCGATCAGATTCCTGTAAAGTATCTCAAACTAAGCGCCGATGTCATAGCTTCGCCTCTGACACACATCCTCAACAGTTTTATTTCAATCAGCTCTTTTCCACAGGCTTGGAGGGTTGCTCGCGTTTTGCCCATCCCGAAAGTAGAGTTGAATGTGATCATTACTGACCTATCGCTATCCTACGAGCAATCTTTAAAGTCTATGAAAAACTTGTTTTAAATTAACTCCTTGAGTACATAGATCAGAATCAGGTGCTCCGTGATACTACATCTGGATACCGTAAAGGTCATTCGACCACTAGCGTTCTTTTATGTATTAGAGACTACATAATTTGAGCCATGAAGAATGGTGATTCAACGCCTTCCCGGACTTTTCTAGGGCACTCGATACGGTCTAAGAAGTCTCTTGTTCAAAGTCTCGTGCTATCCAAACTTAACTTTAATGACTCCGTCATTTATCCCCTTCCCACATTTCCGCAGGAAAGAGTACAACGCGCTCAGAATGCTGCCGCTGGCTTCATCTTGAATCGTTTCTGCCCTGAAAGGGACGATCTAGAGCTTGGCTGGCCACCGACACTAGAATACCCAATTAAACATTCCTAAACTTGGACATCGAGCTCTTTTTAGTGCAGCTTGGCCCGAATACCTTCAACCGCCTTGGCACAATTCCAAACGTACACTACGCTCTAGTAATGCGCCTTTGATATAAACTTCTCTAGTTAAGGGTACTTTTCAGGACTCATTGGCGACTTTATTCAATGTCCTACCCGCAAGTATGAGGCAGTGTCCAGACTTTGTTACTTTAAAAAATAATTGTTGCACAATTCTCAAGAGCAGAGTAATCATGCGTTTAACCTCATAAGTGATCATGCGTTTAACCTCGATAAGGTTTTCTTAGTTATGGTAGTTTTTAACAGTTTTCAAGTGCTTTATGTAAATATTAAATGTGTCTTGTGTGCATTATGCATTATGTAAGTCGTTAGTTTTTAGTTAGTAGGACGGATTTAGGGCTACCACGTAGAAATACTGTCAATAAATCGTTATTATTATTATTATTATTATTATTATTATTATTCGTATTATTCCTTTAAAGACACAGTCTTAAAGAAGAAGTAGAAGCTACTGGGAGCCGGGAATGGGGAAGAAACCCTAGAGTTCTTGGGGTTTGCTTCCCATTTCCTCTAATCTTGACCCTGTTTCTGTCAAAACACACCAGTCTC